AAATGTTATTGGCAAATTATGAGAAATACCAACAGATTCCGTTGGAACAGTAGCGACGCCACTGAGATCATATTTTTTCGATTTATCTATTTTCCCGCCTACACGTTTAACAATATCTTCTGATACAATTGCAGGTTCGGCGCCACTATCTAGTACCAATGCTGGAATTTTTAAGCGTTTAATTTTAACTGGTATAGTTGCAATACTAATTACCGGTTCTTTCTGACAGACAAAATCAATCTCCATAGGATCATTCAATATCTCCTCTTCTCTATCTGATTCAGATATTTCTTGGGCCGGCTCTCGATAATTTATAAAGTCAGGTTTTGCAGGCCCTTTAGGGGCGACTCTTTGAGTCGTAGATAAATTCATATTATTAATATTGTTTTTAATCGTTTCTATAACCTCTGGATCGTTAAACATAGCTAGAATAATTTTTCGAATTTGTGAGTCAATAATCGTACCTGATTTCTTTTGTATTTTTTGTGAAGAACGTTGAATCAGAGATTCGAGACTCTGTCTCTTCTTTGAATCAGACTTTTTAGATGGCGATTTTGTAGATTTGCTCTTATGTTTTACTTTTTTTTTACCTTACTAAAATGAACCTTAGTGTCACTTTCAGATTCAGATTCGGCTGAGAATTCAGATACTAACTCTTCTGATAATAATTCTGATTCTGGCTCCGAATCGGGGTCCAATTTTGAAGAATTCGACTCAGAACTCGAATCTACAGTAACCTTATAGACATTACCTTTTTTATTTTTGGATCTACTCTTCTTTTTCTGAGGACACTTACGAGAATTATGCCCAGTCCTATTACAGTTTGAGCAACGGTGTTGTGCTTTCGTAGCTTTTTTAACAGCCTTAGCTACGTGTAACTTCAACTGCTTCTTCGTAAAATTGGCCAATTCATCATCGGAGTCAACTTCAACTTTCTTTATTACTGGTTTTGGAGGCAAATCGGGCTTGGAAATAGGAACAAATTCCGAAACCTCCCCAGTAATCCATTGTACAAATCTATCCATTAATATTTCTTGCATTTTTTGATATGTGCCAGGAGGTTGTGGTCCATAATTAGATTGAGGTGTCTGCAATGGTTGTGATGGCTGTATTTGCTGAGAAGCTGATTGTGAAGAAACGGATTGAGATTGTGTAGGTGTTATTAATTTAGATAACAATTTATAACTAGACTGGGGTATTTTACTAACTAATCTCTGCTCTTCGCATTTCAATTCGCTCTAAAATTTCAAAAAGATTAGCTAATGGTTGCTCAGTACCAATGCGTTCCGCATCATCCTCCAAGTCTGGAGACAAACCTCTTAAAAATTGTCCCTTAATCTGTTGCTCATCAAGATTAAGCATTTTTCCATATTTTAAGAGTTTTGAGTAAAAATCTCCTATAGATTCACCCCCCTGAGCTAATGATCTATAAACTAAATTGCGCTTTTCACTTATTACTGTAGGTTATTCATTTTTGAGCCAATATAATGCTTGGCCAATCCGAATATTTCCAAATACTATAGGATTAGCATTACCTGCATTAACAGCATTGGCAGGTCTATCCAATGGACATCCTCCAGCTAAGCGCCAATCTTCGGTAAAAGCTTCAGCTAGAATCATGGAAACACCTACGGTTATTGCATTATTACCAGCAATATTTGCATAGTCATGGGCAATGAAAGGATTTCTAAAGCTATTACTAGTATTCATCTGTGCCATAGTGCGTCCCTGAAGAGCACCCATACCAGCCTGGCTATGATTTGCAAAAATATTGTGAAGTTCCCATCACTTACCAAGAATTTTTCGATCAAACCATTCTAATGCTCGCCCATGTAGACACCCTCTAAGAATACCAAATGCTTGATC